GCCTAACCAGCCTGACTGGTCCCAGTCCCCAAAACCCTCTTTGCTGCATTTTTTATTTTAATCTGTAAATAATAATAATAATAATTTTCTTCATTAAAATGAACCACTAGAATCTCGGGATTTATATTAGGAGTTATGTACAATATTCGAGTTTAGGGAGTTTTCACGGCATTGTCAAAACTTCATCGCCAACAAAACATAAACCCACCAGCTACTCCGATGTTTGAAATCAGGGACGTTTTTCCACAAATTCTTTACTGGCTTAGATGACTGATGGGGAAACGTCTCCATCTGACAGCTGATCGGTGTTACCGTCGGAGAAGTCGTGTTGAGGTTGGAAGCCGTCTAACGAATGTAACGTGACGTAACACTGCCACCAAATATATCCGTTCATAAGAGAACGAATGGCCTTCATATGCACCAGTTCAGCGCCTGTTATCAAGGATCCATATACCTACGTGTTACACGATTACCCGTGTCTGGCCAGGATAGGAATTGTATGAAGCATTAACGGATGCGTAAGCATTGAATTCGGTCTTTGAAGGACTAAAAGTCTGTGGAAGGGACAGAAGTCAGTGTGTTGATACAGATGCGATAGACCTGACCTCTTGGTTTCTTTCATTCTCTCTTGTGCGCTCTGGGCATCTATAGAGGCTATTTCATGTGTCGAGTGAAATATCAAGTTTCTCTCATCGAGTGACGGGGTGTGGTGTGGGTGTGTGGGTGTGTGTGTGGTGGTGGGGGGGGGGGGGGGGGGGGGGGGGGGAGGAGAGATAAGACAAACATGATATTTCTTTCGAAACATGAAATATCCTATTTATTATATACTTTTTGTGTCGTTGTCTACTGGTAAATTAAATGAATTCCTTACTAATATACAATCTTGACACGTGATGTCTTCCTACCTAAAACACGGGGACGTATATTATTTCAATCAGAAATTAAATATTTACGAAATTCAGCAACATAAAAGTAGAGATTGTTATTCGAGTGTGTTTCTGTATCGCAAGTATATGTTAGGAATAAATATTGCATTACGCGAGTCTTTGACAAATAGTCCAATGGTTCATATTACAGTTCACTATAATTGTTTGTTTGAACGTTTGCGTTTTCCAATTTGATATGAGCAATATATTCTGCCATGAGTTATCACTCTCCGAAAAAGTAAGTATTTATTAGATCCAGTGTAATGTTATGTTGACAGTTTACATTTCACAGTACAATTGAAAATATAAATACAGACAAACCTATTCAATAGATGTATAGATTGCAAACAGGTGGACTTTCATTTTTCCTTCGGTTGTACATGTATAATCTATATCTACATTGTATAGTGATATCGAAACAGTGATAGTTCATTACCTGCGTGAACACCTGACACGTCAAATGGTTTCTGTCTATATTGTATCAATGGTCACGTTCATTTTAATTGTTCCCACAAAATGTAATAAATATTGTTTTTAACACGGTGTCCTATTAACGTGTAATTATGGCACGCGCATGTGCATGGATGACTGCATGTGTAAAGGGGGCCTATCGATCAATGAAACTACACGAACCGTGGCTGCCGAGAAGACCGTGACTATAGACTAACTATCCTGACGGGCAAAAGAAAGTATACATTCATGTTTGATGGTGGCTGATGTTTTCTTTTTAAATAAACAAAATCTAAATATTAACATTATTTAAGTTCTGGTTGTTTATTATAGAGGGGTGGGTGGGGTTAATGTCATGAAGTTAATGTCAAAATCTTACATAAAATGAGGTGATGAGGTCTAAATACGAACACCCCCCACCCCACCCCCACCCTTACCAACCCTGCACTGGGTTTTTACTTGTTTTGTTGTTGTGGGACTTAAAGGGGTTTTTTTATAAGAGTTTGGTAAATATGGTAACATGCTTAGACTTCATGTAAATATGGATCAAATATATGTTACTTTTAATTTATTTATTTTTTCCTGTTCTATTATCTTGGGTTGTTTTGTTTGTTTCCTTTTCTTTTAGTTTTCTCACCAACTTCTGGTGATATGATGTTTATGTTTTATAGGTTGCGGTCTGTAACTCACACGGTGTGATTTTATCACCCTCAGTGGTCTGGTTAGCCTTTAATAAACACCATCAGTACCGTCTTTCACCTTCTCTGTTGAGCGACCTGAATGTGTCTCCTGCTATATAGTGTTGTTCACCACTTGTATCTTTCTGGGTTTTCAGAACATGGCATCACCCTACATGGGTACATACATTCATACTATAAGGGGAAACAAATTAGGGATGATTTCAACATCTTCCTGTCTAAATATAATCCATAAATGGTCATTAGATAACATTTACGTAGAAAATCAAGCCTCACAAAGACAAAGAACAAGTTTTAGATGACATTCCTATTACAGCTTTAAAGGACACCAAGCACTTGGACATTAATATTAACCATCATTTAACTGTTGCACCACATATTACATATATGTCAATGACTTGTTGAAACTCGTTTCAAATGCAAAGCCATGCTCCAAACTGGCTCCATCGTTTATGGTGGAGCTCCTAAAAGTAACTTGATCCTTGATAATATCCACTACCAAGGCGTCACACTTTGCCTTGGTGCCTTCCAAACATCTCCTGTAGATAGTCGATCAAATACGCCGACTAAAACTTTACAACTAATCACATCCTTATTTTCAAATCAATCTAATCAAGCGTATGACTGTGTTTTATCCACTTTGTGAGGATCTCTATCATGGAATATCACTTATTCAACCTCTTCGGATAAGACTCAAACCTGCCATTTCCGCTGTTTTAACAGTTATAAAATACACTAATAATCATATACACGTAAAAGGTCTATTTTCCTACTCATGTCTTGGGGCTATTAGAAATCCACTTTACTTGAAGTGCTATTGGCCTCTATGACATCGTCTTTTGTTGGCTGCACTGCATGCAGTCTCATTAAAATCAGATCTTAGTTCTCGCTATCGTTAAACAAAGATCTTTGTTTAGCGGCAGCGAGAACTTAGGTCTGATTTTAATGAAATTGTCTGCACTGCCTCTTTGGAATCATTGGTAACACAATGGCTGATACTGCAGCAAAGAAGCATTCTTCTTCCTGCATGACTGATTCCCCAGCTGGATTCATGCCATCAGTTTGGTTGCCAGTGCTAGAAGAGAATGCCAACCAATATTCAAAAGATCAAAGAACAAGCAAGCATGTCCATAAAACATTAGTTGATTTTAAACTCCTTAATAGATGGACTCACGTGCCTCTGATAGTTAATAATAACTATCAATCGTGATAGAAACGTCCGCACAGTCCAGCAGTATATGCTTGCCACTGAACTTTTCGCCACAAGGGACACAGAATAGAGAACCTTCACCCTTCAATACACATTCGTGTGTGAAACGTGCTTGATGAATGCGACATCGTCTGAGAATGACTTCATCTTGTCTAGAATGACAACCCAAGTAGGTATAACCTAATTTGGGTAAAACTTTATGAAGTTTATTTGTACGTACTTAGATGTTACAATGTTTCTGCACCAAACTTCGAACATATTCCTTAATGCATTGTTTAAAATCACTATAGGGAATTGAAAGATGGCAGACTGTTTTACCAAAAGCAGCTTTTGATAGTTCTAATATATGTTCTCTGTCTGCAGCATCGGCAAATGAGGTTTTATTTTGACCCACAAAGGTGTAATCAGCACTGGTTTGATTTGAAACAGTTCTTCATAGGGAGGTTTAAAAACGCAATCATACGCTGGAAGGAATTCTTTTTTTAAATAAAAAATTATGATTATATTCAAAATCAGCTTCCCAGTTTGTTTTTCTTGAAACCTACGTTGTAGGAGGCGAAAGAAAGAATATACGCTGGTCAAGTAACAAAATTGTTACAGTTTATAAGGAAACATTTTCAAGAGAATAACAAAAGGTAAGAAGCGATATTAACTCATTAAATGGCCATCTGTCATTATTTTACCTTGTCCTTGTTGAATTAACGTAAAAAGGATGTCAACAGTTTGTTCACAGCCCAGACGCTTACGATAAAAGGAGACAATTTGTTGGGAGGTATATAGCTCGAGTCACATAGTTCCGTCAGTGTTATGTTCACTGCAGTGAAATATCAAGTGTTATGTTCACTACAATAAAAATATCACTTTTCCCATCTTCAGAAAACTCAGAATTCCACACTGAATTATATAACAAATGGGAGTATGCGCGTTAGAAGTAAACTATTGTTATCTTGAAGACGAATACCATGAGTTGCGCGAGTCCCAATATATTCGAGACAGTGCTGGTTGAACGTTATTGTACACCGCTTGTTCCCGTACACCTCGCAGGTGACACATGTAACGAACTTATCATGAGAAGTTTGTAAGTTACCAGGACACATTTTGGGTGCCATCATTGTGTGTGGCAATCAGAAATATTTTATGACCGCCATCGTAATATGGTAACAGGGTCAATTGTGACGTCAGAATTGTTCACAAGAGGCCGAGTGGACACTCACATAGCTGGCAGCTTTAACCAGTAATGATAACTCTCTTTTACGATTTCTCCGAAACCATCCCTTACAGTAACCTGAAATTAAGCAAGGGCAGTTCTATCACAAAATGAATTACCATTTGATAATATGTTATAATACAATATATGAGTAAATATTAAAAGTGTTGAACGAAAACAATAATTTTATTGTTTGTTTGTTATTTCACGCCGCACTCAGTATACCAGCAATATAGCTGCGGCATGTAAATAATCAGACAATCCAGTGATTGATATTATGAGCAACGATCAACGCCGTACGCCTCGGGTACGTTGACGCTTTAACAACCATGTCAGCGAGTCTGGCGATACGATCCCTTAAGTCGTCTCTTAAATTACGACCAGCATAAGTTGCTGGGGACCATTTCTATCCCGGGATCGCCACGGGGCCAAAAGTTAATAAATCAAACAACCAACCAACCAACCAAAGGACCAATCAATCAATCAATCAATGTATGTTTCTGTTCCAGGGTACTGCGACCATGTCCAGAGGGATGACGACTTCCTGCTGCTGATTCACGTCCCCGAGTCCTACGACTTCACTATGGCGAGTAAGTGGAGGGGACGCCCGGGAGGGGATGCCCGGGAGGGAATGGGTGATGTAGGGACAAGATGGATGCTAAACGTATAAGAGGAGACGTGCATGAGAGAGAGAGAGAGAGAGAGAGAGAGAGAGAGAGAGAGAGTTTGTTGTTTAACGCAACTCACGACCACCTCGTATAATCACTTTCAGGTGCAATGAGGCCAAAAATAACGAGGTCACTGCTTTGTAAATTTTATGTGAATAATTGATTTTGCTGATACATACATCTTTGTTGAAAGCTTGTTATATCTTGATTATCTCTCGTGCACTCGTGAACGTTTGCTTACACTTCAGCCATATATAGCGTGGTGGTGGCTTCCTTTTCGCTTGGTGACCGTGACATGTTCCCTGTTACTTCTGGTGACCTTGCTATGTACTCTGATACTTCTGGTGACCTTGCTATGTACTCTGATACTTCTGGTGACCTTGCTATGTACTCTGATACTTCTGGTGACCTTGCTATGTACTCTGATACTTCTGGTGACCTTGCTATGCACTCTAATACTTATGACCTTGCTATGTACTCTGATACTATTGTGACCTTGACATGTACTCTGATACTATAGTGACCTTGACATGTATCTGATACTATTGTGACCTTGACATGTACTCTTGTACTATTGGTGACATTGACGTACTCTGATACTTTTGGTGACCTTGCTATGAACTCTGATACTTTGAGTGACCTTGCTATATACTCTAATACTGTTATGACCTCTACGTACATGTACTCTGATACTGCTAGTGACCTTGACATGTATTCTGATACTATTGTGATCTTGACATGGACTCTGATACTATTGGTGACCTTGCTATGTACTCTGATACTGTTACTGACCTTGACAGGTATTCTGATACTACTGTGACCTTGACATGAACTCTGCTACTTTCTGGTGACCTTGACGTGAACTCCTATATAACTATGACCTTGACATGTACTTTAAGACTATTGCTCTCCTGGACAATGTACTCTGAAACTACGGTATGATCTTGACATGTACTCTGATACTATTACGGACCTTGAAACATACAATTGATGACCTCGGTGGCCTTGCTACGTACTCTGACACCAACAGTGACCTTGACATGTACTCTGACACCATCAGTGACCTTGACGCGTACTCTTACACAATCGGTGACCTTGACACCTACTCTGACACAAACAGTGACCATGACATGTACTCTGACACCATCAGTGACCTTGACACGTACTCTGACACCATCAGTGACTTGACATGTACTCTGACACCAACGGTGACCTTGACACGTACGCTGACACCATCAGTGACTTTACATGTACTCTGACACCATCAGTGACCTTGACACGTACTCTGACACCATCAGTGACCTTGACGCGTACACTGACACCATCAGTGACTTGACACGTACTCTGACACCAACAGTGACCTTGACACCTACTCTGACCCCATCAGTGACCTTGACACGTACTCTAATACCATTGCTGGCGACGTGTCAGTATCTATGCTGCTGCATGAGGCCTGCTACAAGGGACTTCAGCATGTGCTGGTGGTATTGACGGCTTGCAGTCTATGCACGGGTTGCTGGTCATCTGTTGCATGGGAGCTTGCCATTGAGAAGTCTGATGTCTTTCACGACTTCAGGTCCCGCTGTAGTGGAGACGCTGCTGCGCGAGCTGGAGGAGAGGGTGGATAACCTGGAGAAGAAGTACAAGGAACGACTCATGTCACGTCGGGTGAGTTGCATACAGTCGGGCCCATTCGGCTGACGACATACTACCCCCGTCAACATTCGTGACCAGCTCGTGTTATTCCGGGACAAGCCGAATAACGACTCATGCCCCTCTCGTGGCCATTGTTGCGACCGGGTTCCGTCTAAGCGCAAACGGGCATAGTTTAAATAATTGTCAACTCGTTGCGTAATGATTCATGTATATTACTCCCATATATCATATATATTCCAGATGTTATTTAAAACACATCGGGACTTACGGTATTTATACAGCATGATTGAACACATTTAACTGTATCTAGGGTAAGAGATGCAAGACATGTGTAAAATCAAATATTATTCCTGGCGGATTCTTTGCCCCAAGTATTTGAAGTCATACGCGCATTCTGATTGGTTAGTCGTATTTTCGCACATAACATTCATTGATAGGTGGACGAGTCTTCTTGCTGGTTACGGAAAGGGGGGAGTGGTGACGAATGCTTCCGGCAGCAGAATTCGACACCACTCGCCCCTTCCGGATTGTCCCGGAATGACATACGATATACTGCATAGCAGTGTTCTCACAACTACACATATCTTGTAAAATTATATTTCACAACATGTGAAGCGAATTTCTGGCGACCCCGACATGTTGTTCCCAATCTCATTAAATCAGATCTTTTACTCCGATGAACCCTAAGTGCACTTTCACCAGCCAATCAAAAGGAAGGAGCCATGGGTTCTTGAGCCAATCAGATGCCAGTTTTCGAAAACGACAAGGCTTCAGTTCTTCACCAAATTTCAATCCTAGCGCACCCTTATATAGGTGTAGACACCATGGCGCTAAGATATGACAGAGATGATAAAATATCCACAACAACGTTAACAGGCTTTATTATGTTGCATTCGGAACTTCACGATTAATTCACGACTAAACCATCTGATTTTAATGAGATCGCGTTATTGCTAAATAAGGAGTAAAACCGTGTCCCATCATCATAGTCGTTATTATTTAAAAGAACTTAACAGGTCTCTTCCTAAGGTTAGGACTTTCAAATAATGTGGATGGATTTTCAAAACGTTACTGCTTTTCAAAACTGCTTTTGCTTTTGGAATCAAATGTTATTTTTCGAGCATTGGCGAGAAAAGATAATTTCTTGTAACCATCCCCGCCTCCTCCCCACAACCCCCATCCCTAACCCCCTTCCACATCCGGTACTCTTCCAAAGGTGATTTTAATGAGGGTTTGTTTCCTGAGGTAGGGAAACCGGATGCTTGAGATGCTGATTGCCGGTTGAATTCAATCCACAGTTGCATTATGTTGATTAATTATCGTGCACTCGTGAGATGTCTTGACATTTTACTATAGGATGTAATGCCACCAGAATGAGAAACTGTGTAAGGAGACCTTAAATATTTCACATTTCCAAATCGACATGTTTGCAAAAGGTTAAGAAGTGGGCGATGAGCTGTTTAAAGTTATTATTATGTTCCGTATGCAACACAAGCATGAATGTCGTGAAAAGAGCAACAGTTTCAAAATATAATAAAAATTGATTACCGTTTATTTTCTTACGCAGAAATTCAAAATCGTTCCAACATGGCGACATGGCATATGCAAGGAAGGAAAAATAAGTCTTGACAGCCTAAGGATAAAAAACCGGATGTTTGCCGGACAATACTCAAAGATTTTTTACAAAACATCGTTCCAGCGGCATATTTAAAGTGACTCGCAGGATGGTGGGAGACACTTTTTTATCAACCTCATTGCATAAATTGTAAAAAGTTAAAATAGAGGACGATATTATCTAGTGCATTAAATGATTTACCATTATCGCCTATGCCTGTATGTTCCGATTGCTGAACATGTGATTATCTCCGAGCGGATGAAGAATGGTGCGACAGAATACACATCGTACGACATGCGATTTATTAACCTAAACAATATTTTGTCTCTGGAAACAGTATACGGAATATGAGTTATGACAACAGATTTTAGTGCTCTTCTGTTATTTTGTGGAGGTGAGGAGTGTCTCGGACATGGCATTAGAATCCATTGCCTAGCAACGAAACCTCCAACGAGACTTCGCACCTATAGATATCCACAATCCAACGAACGCCTACACAGATTGTTTCCAAATAATGTAGCTAATCTCCTCCAAGAATAATGACATTTCTCTGAAACGCAATTGATCGGCGGTTTGACGTGGTTTGGGGATCTTGAAAAAATGGAATGAGTCCACTGAAACACGATTGCTCGACGGACATGACCGTGGCTCGGTTGGCGCTTATTTGGCTGCGGACGCGTTATTGGAACTTGTAACACGTTTTACAGGATTTGACTTCTAATTTGACTTTTATTCGTTTTTCGAGCTTTATTAATCTTATCGTTGGCTTAAGGCAGTAGACTAGGGGTTGCGGATGCTAGATTCTCTTAATAAGTTGCGATTCTCTATTTACTGGGTAATTAAACAGGTGTTGTCCATTGTCAGATGTCCAAAAATGATTTATTCCTAAAAAAAAGTGCAGACGTTTTCAAATTTATATGTCAAAAACATATTTAATTATAACATGTTCATAAATATGCGTATTCCTCTATTCCTGGGGCTCCGGCTATAAGATCGGACACAGGTGCACAGGAAATGAATCTTGGCAATCTTGTCGGTAAATACACACACTATTGCAATAAATTTCATCTGGTAGCAAAAACTTCAACAAAAATTATAGCGTGTTACATCTATCTAAAAAGGGCTATTTCAAATCACATAACAGGAAATAATCAGGTTTCGGGGCAAGGGTGGACCGAAGTCAAAGGCGTCGCACATCGCTGTGCAGAGTTGCGTCCCTAAGGCATGTCAGAATCACTTGTTCGCGTCTGAATTTGGTCTAACGACGCTAAAGTATTATATGGCTTGTCAGCTCCACGTGAATAGAAAGCACAAAGTGTAATCAGTGATTACCAGTTGGTGAAGACAACTGGGGGGGGGGGGGGGGGGGGGGGGTGTTCTGGGATTCGAACCCACCCCCAGTGGATCCTCGCACATGTAAGGGACGCAACTCTTCACAGCGATTGCGGCAACTGAGACCATGGGTCAGGAAGGTCCAAATGTTAAACAATAAAACAACAAAAATTAATCACATATCAAACAGTCAACACATTCGTCAACACAATTCACTGGCATTCGTAACGATTAGTCTACTTCCCCCAAGAATTAGCAACACGTGTTTTTGCTGAATTAAATCACGAAAGGCACGTGTTGTCCCAGAGGCCCACTGTAATGTCCTCGGCTGTCATTGCAAAGCTGACCTTGTGAACATCCCGCCATAATATGCATTATTCAGAAGCTCGCAAATATGTCTGTGTATTCATTCCGAGTTAAGAGAGAGCTGACGTGTGTGATCTGATTGTAATACCCGCCGACGTCCGATTCCCCAAATCGACTTGGTTCATGTTTATATGCATTGGCAAGGGTAGATATCGTCAAACTATACCGGGCTGTGACAGTGTGTGTCGTGATGCAAGTGCTCTTATGCTATTTTCCAATGGATTTATTCAGTAGCTTTTGTTCTAATTTTAGTAGCATTAACGAGTGACGAGATATAATATTCTTCCTGATCATTATTGATAACATTTTTATTCATATTTGAGATAAATGAGATTCGTTTCATTTGTACGAGATATAATATTCCTGCTGCTCATTATTGATAAGATTTTATTCATAATTTGAGAGAAATGAGATTCGTTTTATTTGTTGCTGGATGCAATATCAAAATAAATAAACTAATATATGGTCAATATACTTCATATTTTGAATTCCTAGTGCCTTAACCACTAATATTCAATAACAAAAGAAATTGCGGAATCCAATTCACGGAAACTACCGAGTCATGTATCATTCGCCGTCACTCGTCTCTTTCCGTAACCAGCATGCAGACTCGTCCCCTGACTAATCGAAGTCATGTGCGATTCCCTCCTGGGTTTTTTATTGTTTTTTTTATGCATACGTTTCATCTAGAAATAAACCCAACTGATAGTTCTTACTATTATTACCAAAAGTCCCAAATGGTTGCCGGTAGCAACTGGGCTTTTAGAAAAATATCCACGCAAAATTACGCAATCATGTCGCAAGTAGGTTTTCAAGTTTTTTCCGCCAAGTGCACTTACGCTAAGAAGGACCAAATCAATAGAAGGAACCCAATAAAAAGCAAAGGAGAAGTCAAAAATGCTAATTAACATATTTTCAGATTTCCGGAAAGTTCCGCACGGGAGCGGGAAAGCCCGGAGAAGTGATCGTAAACATCGCTAAAGAAGAAAAGGCAGCAATGATCATCACAGGTACTCGAGGACTTGGGAAATTCCGGAGGACGATCCTCGGCAGCGTCAGTGACTACATCGTTCATCATTCCAACGTCCCCGTGCTGGTGTGTCGACAGAAGGGGGAGACCCCACAGTAGGGGGCGTGTGTGAAGACGACATGCTTGTGTTTGTGTATACAGTAGCGTGCATGATGGTCAGTGTCACTACATCACGGGTTTGTATCGACTAGGTTCCTCCATCACCCGCGAATACACACGGCCCTCCCTGAACATCCGGGTTAGAATAATCTTCCGCAAGCCATGCTTGCCGTTAAAGGCTATGTTTGTTGTAAGAGGCGACTGACTAACAGGATCGGGTGACTAGGCTCGCTCACTTGGTTGATGCATGTCATCGTATTGCAGTAGCGGAGATCAATGCTCATGATGTCAATCCCTGGATTGTCCTGGACTGGTCCAGACAACTATTTACAGAACGCCGTCATATAGCTTGAATTTGCTGAGTGCGGCGTTTAATAACAACAACAAACAAACAAACAAACAAACGAATACACGCCGTCGCAATTTGAATGAATCCACGGCCTTGTTCCAACAAGCCCAAAACCAGTGTGAGCTCAGACCATTTGTCTCTCAGATTACATCTGCAATATTCCTCGTGCACCATTGACCACACATTTGCCTCTACTCTACACATTGCTTCAACGGTAGGGTTTGAACAAACAGCATGTATGGAGAAGGGCACATTGACTTTACAGGGCCACATTTCCTTACTTAACATAACATTACTGAAGCCTTTTAGGGCCACTTGTTTTTTCTGTTTTTTCTTCAAGATACTAAGTTGAAATTTTAAGATACATACGTTGAAATTTCAAGTTAAACTCATAAAATTTCAACTTATTATCTTGAAATTTCAACTTAGCAACGTGAAATTTCAAGATCATTATCTTAATATTTCAACAAAGCATCTTGAAATTTCAAATGAATATAAATCTCAACTTAGCATCTTGAAATTTCAACATAGTATCTTGAAATTTGAAGATAATAAGTTGAAATTACAAGTTATAATCTCAATCTTTCAACTTATCTTGAAATTTCAACTTAGTATTTTGAAATTTAAAAAACAAACAAATGGCCCTAAAAGGCTTGTGTATATAACATAGACACGCGGCACAGTTATACCGTATTACGGCGGTGTGTGTGCTCGGGTGATGGAGGGACGTCATGCATACTAACCTGTGTAGTATTGACTGTGGAATAGTCGGTGTTCAACATATATATCACAGTGACGTCATGTTTAACGTGTTGTGATGTCATGAGGATGTTATACGATGGCATGAGGATGTCTGATACAGTGGGGCTCTGTATCGATACAATATGTTGAGCGTGTCAATTCCAACCTGACACACAGGAGTTACGTCCCCTGACAAACGATCGTCTGAATTCTTTCTATTTTCTAGTGTGCTATTTCAATGTAAATAGTTTTGTGTTTTGATTTAATTTCTAGACCAGTTTGTCAAAATGTATGCTGTACAAACGTGATATTATAGGTTACACTGGTGTAGCCCAGTCGTCTACGGCGCCGCTACTTACAGGGCAGAGTTGCGTCCCTTTGGCAAGCCAGAAACCTATGATTTGCCCTGATTATGTTTCTACAACTTTCTAGGAGTATCAGCACCATGCCCGTGCTCGTGCTCGTGGGTTTCACCAAAGCGATTAAAGAACCTACATCAGTCCGAGCAGTCTCTCCCACACCAATCTGACGACATGCCGAGATATAACTGAAATACTGTTCAAAGCGGCGTTAAACCAAACATACACACACTTATTAGGTTACAGTAAGAGAATATGTATAGAAGTCGGTAATTTCCGGGAGCTCTCGTAGATCATCGGGGGAAAGGGACGATATGGGATGAATGATAACACTCATTATCAAAGAATATTATTATAATCAACTTGAAGATTAATATTCTTTTTTTTTAACGAATCTGTAAGTTTTGCCCTTATTTCGTCCCATCATTATATTTCGTTCATGAACGGCATTAAGTGTATAAGTTTATGCAAAGCTTATCTTTGACCATGTGTTTCAAACCAAACCTTTGTACAACGTGTAAAACATATATACCCCTAGGAATTCTTCCGAAGGGAGCGACCTAATAGTCGGTAATGTCTGGGAGCTCTCGTAAATTATCGGTAAAATCACCTATTTTAGGAAACAGACCATTCGTTACCACTCTCCCCTTTCCGTAACCTGCAAGAAGACTCGCCCCCACTAGCGATGAATGTTATGTGCGAAAATACAACCCAATCCGAATGCGCGTATGACTCCCAAGTACTTCGGTCAAAGAATCACACAGAAATCATTTCTAATATTACACATGTCTCGCATCTAAACTTATACCCAAGATAAGGTACAGTTACATGTGCCGATGGGTTTTAGATAGCATGGGGGGGGGGGGGGGGGGGGGTGATTTAGATGTGTTCATGAATATATTTTATGTTTACAGATCGTGGCTGTGTTTTAGATAGACACAGTCTGATACCATGTTGAGGGTTTTGATACTGTGGAGATATATATTGATATCGTGTTGTACATCAAGGTGCGTCATGTTTTATTACCTTAATTGTTAACTGTTAGCATGATATATGTTTGTAATTCAGTAACACGTGCAATAAACAGTTAACAGTTAACTGGCTTGAATGAGACATGTTGACATTTTTTTTTATTCTGCGAGAACCTTCCATGGGAAGCCACAGCCAAGCGGTTGGGAGTCTGCCCGGAAAGCGGAAGATCCGGGGTTTGATCCCCGGCTGCGTTATACGTTAAAAGACGGTACTTGTTGTTACCCTTCCTGGCGCTCGGCATTACGGGGCTAAAAGAAAGACTGGTCAGCTCAGAATCAGTATACTGTGTCTGAGTCGGGTATTCATGTTAAACTGCGGCATGGTATCTCAGTGAGCTAGCACTATAAAATCGGCATTAGTCCGTAGTAGTACAAGTAGCCACATACATGCACGTAGCTGTATAAGTAGAATAATCTTGGAAACCCCATTTCACCTCACTTCACCTCACCTCACCTCACCTCACCTCACCTCACCTCCAACGAGAAGCCTCACATCGTTCATTTCTAAAAGACATCCAGAATTATTCTCAGCTGTGAAGAGTTATGCACCTTTGTTCAATTGTTGGAGGTGGTTGGACAAAGTTCCTGTCTACTTTTTCTGAATGAATACCAACTCGTACCAACAGTGGAATGAATTTTGAAGGCAGTTTGGTTCTCTGGGCAGGCTGCGCTTGCGTTCAGTTTGAAGTCCCGGGACGACTCAGGTGAACCTGTGTTGAGTGTGTTAACTATCGATTCTTGATTTAATAACTTTAGAATTAATAATTCAACTTTGATACTGATTTTGCATGTCGTTTGATGTTCTATGCGTTATTTTGAACTTTCTTGACGTTTTGCGTGCATTCAGTAGAAAATATACAATCACAGCTTTGTCAAGAAATGACACATTTGTTAACTTCTCATAGCTGTGAGACCGCCTCCGTTGTCTAGTGGTAGAGCGTCCGCCCGGAGAGCGGAAGGTCCGGGGTTCGATCCCCGGCCGCGTCATACCAAAAGACGTTAAAAGATGGTACTTGTTGTTACCTTGTCTGGCGCTCGGCTTAAAGGGGCTAAAACAAGGACTTGTCGGCTCGGAGTCAGTATACTGTGTCTGAGTGGGGTATTCATGTTAAAACTGCGGCATGGTATTTCAGTGAGCTAGCACTATAAATCGGCATTAGTCCGGACTAGTACAAGCAGCAACACACACACACACACACACACACACACATGCACGTCGCTAGTACGTGCAATAATCTTGGACGCGACGTTAAACCCAATTTCACCTCACCTCATAGCTGTGTGTTGTAGTACATGGTTGTTGCGTTTCCCCGTCTCCTGGCAGCCATTATAAATCTAAGGTTGCATTTAATGCGTTCTGTTTCGGATACTGCCCTCAGTTATCCTTGATTAACAGTAGTTAACTCAAGTGGACTCTAGTCAACCCTGGTTGCCAGAAATGTGGTAACCTTGGTTAACTCAGGTCGCTCCATTAACCAAAATCGTACGCACCTAGTGGCGCAAATTCAACCTGCCCAATGAGCCACTACTTCCGCGTAAATTAATCTTGCAACTGGATCTTCCAGGGGTGATCACAATGAATCGATCACGTACAGTGATTTTTGTTTGTTTGCTTGATGCTTAACGCCACACTCTGCAATATTCCAGCAATTGGGATGAGATGACATGCATCAACCGAGTCAGCGAGTCTGACCAACCGATCCCGTTAGTCGCTTCTTTCGACAATCATAGTCGCCTCTAACGACAAGCATGGGTTGCTGAAGACCTATTCTAACCCGGATGTTCATGGGTTACATGCAGTGACTTCAACACTACAACCTTGCTTGTCACGTATCAACACATCGTCAGAAAGCATCAGTTACTACAGACGTCAGCGTGGTTCAACTTTATATAGACAGTATCTTTCGACAAATCATGAAACTGTGTTTTGTTTGTTTTGCAAAACGAGTGTTTGGAAAGAGCCTCGTTCCTTATCAACTTCAGTTTACATTAAGGCCTGACGAATATTCGAGCCAGACTTATTAGTGAGTGAATGAGAGTTTGATTTTACGCCGCGTTTAGCAATATTCATGCAATATCACGACGGGGACACCAGAAATGAGCTTCAAACATTGCACTGATGTCGGGAATCGAACCCGGGACTTCTGCGTGACGAGCGAAGGCTGTAACCACGGGGCTACACCAGCGACCAAAGTATTATTAAAGGAGATGCAGTATAGACAGACAGAGAGACAATAGTTTATTAATGTCTCACGTCAGTAAAAACATAAAATAACTTTGTACAAATAAACATTGATACAATGTACAGAACCATTCAATAGAATCACGGGAGACAAATTATCATCAAATTCGTACAGATAAGCTATAAGGTTGACATAGTAACACGTTATCTATATAAAAGATGCTTTCAACGATTAAGAATTAAAAAGGAAACTTTGGCCAGAAAAAAACAAACACTGGCATCACTGAATGTAAGCGAAGTTTGTCTATATCAGGTTTATCTAAAAGATTCTGAGACTTAAAAATACATTCATTACAAAGCGTTGCCCTGCTATCGTCATGCAATACGCAGTGAAACAAAACACGAACCTCGTTTTCTGTGCTGTCATTACAGCAAAAACATTTTCTATTTTGATTATCTTCGTGTACCTTACTTTCTGTTCAATAGAAGTGATAGCCGCGATAGCAGACACGCTGTAATAGGACACCCATCATGCACGGACTCCACACAGTAACAAGATAGTTGTCATGGCCAGTGTTTAGCTTTTCAATTTTAAAGTCATTATTTGAAAACGGAATATGAAAAAACAGTTATCGGTTACATTTAAATGAATAAAAACGTCATTCTTTCGATGTTGACGTACTTTTGGAACATATCTTTTGTAACACCGTGTTGGGTGTTCTTTGATGTAGAGTAAAGTAAAGGTCAACGAAATGGCAATATTTTGAAGTGATCTTTTGGATTTGCGGGCTTTTTTTTGCATTATAATGTGTTACAATGAAAATGAGATGTATAAATTGAAGATCAAAAGAAAGTTTACATTTGAAAATTGTTGGCGCCAAGAATGGTTTTCAAATATGAAAATTCTTCAAAACTTTAAACCTCTACTTCAACCTGAAAAATATTTCTGTTTCCTTCAATACGTGACAAATATTGTATCTCTCTTTGTCGTTTCCGATTGTTTGTTCACAACCTACTGATAGAAAAGGGTAGGTAGGATCATATTAACAAAAATGTACGTCTTTTCGCAATATTTTGCAAACGAAAACATAGATGTTATTTAAAAT